CTACTTGGCCTTTGGATTTTGTTTTTCTTTTAATTTATTTATTTTATTTTTCATATACTTGAAAAGCAGAGCAACAAGAAGAGAGAGAGAGTGAGATCTTCCATCAGCTGGTTCATCCCCCATTGCCTGAAACAGCCAGGTAGGAGACAGGAGCCCTAACCTGCATCTAGGTCATCCCCATGGGTGGCAGGGACCCAAATCCTTGAGCCATCATCTGTTGCCTCTCTTTTTGTATATTATTATTTATTTTAGCAGGCAGAGTGGATAGTGAGAGAGAGAGAGAGACAGAGAGAAAGGTCTTCCTTTTGTCGTTGGTTCACCCTCCAATGGCTGCCGTGGCCGGTGGCCGGCGCACCACGCTATTCCAATGGCAGGACCCAGGTGCTTCTCCTGGTCTCCCATGGGCTGCAGGGCCCAAGTACTTGGGCCATCCTCCACTGCACTCCCAGGCTATAACAGAGAGCTGGCCTGGAAGAGGGTCAACTAGGACAGAATCCGGTGCCCTGACCGGTACTAGAACCCTGTGTGCCGGCGCCGCAAGGCGGAGGATTAGCCTGTTGAGCCGCGGCGCTGGCCATCTGTTGCCTCTCAACATGCATTAGCAGGGGCCAGAGCTTTGGCGCAGTAGTTAATTCTCCGCCTGCGGTGCTGGCATCCTATATGGTTGCTGGTTCTAGTCCCAGGTGCTCCTCTTCCAATCCAGCTCTCTGCTATGGCCTGGGAAAGCAGTGGAAAATGGCCCAGATGCATGGGCACCTACACTCGAGTGGAAGACCCGGAAGAAGCTCCTGGCTCCTGGCTTCAGATTGGCTCAGCTCCAGCCATCGTGGCCATTTGGGGAGTGAACCAGTGGATGGAAGACCTTTCTCTCTGTCTCTCCCTCTCACTGTCTGTAATTCTACCTCTCAAATAAGTAAAAGAAATTTTTTTAAAAAAGCTGCATTAGCAGAAAGCTGGATCAGAAGTGAAGTATCCTCAACTCTAAGCAGACACTCCAACATGGAATGCCAGCTTCCCTAACCTAACCCACCGTGCCACAACACCCGCCCCTTGCATTTCTGTTATTGATCCAAAATAGAATTTAGAAATGGAGCACCCAACCTAGTAAGAACACAAACATTCCACTATTCTGCCACCACTAGTATGTTCATCACAGTCCCCCTCTTATCTGTGTCATATATGTTCCAAAACATTCCATGGTTGCCTGAAACTGCACATTGTACTGTGCCCTGTAAGTCCTTCCGTACCTGCACCTACCTACCTGGAACCCGCACCTCTGCATTTAAAACTGAGAGCATTTCCCTACCTGGCTAAAGTCTAATTTCCTCAGGGCTAGGACCTCTGTGCTATTTATATATTTGTTTGTTCATTTATTTATTATTTTAAACAAAAACAAGCTCAATTGATTTTTTTATAATTTTTATTGAGAGACAGAGTTGTGTGCGCCAGCACCTTTCTCACACACACCCACACCCCCCAACCACACACACCCACACACACACACCCAACATACACACACAGTAGAGTCCTATCCACTGGCTCACTTCCCAAATGCATGCAACTGCCAGGGTTGGGCCTCAGGCAAAATCTGGAACTCAATCCAGGTCTCACACGTGAGTGGCAGGAAACCCAGCTATGTGAACCATCATTGCTGCCTCCCAGGGAAGGCAGAAAGCTGGAGTCGGGAGCTGAAGTCAAGAATCAAATCCTTGTGTTCTGATGTGGGATGTGGATGTCTTAACCGCCAGGCTAGATCAGTTGAACACCCACTCCCCTGTGCTATTTATTATTGAAAATCTCAAACACACACGGACAATCCACCATATCTGGGGTTCCTCATTCACAGATTCAACCAATTGTCAATCAAAAACATTTGAAAAACCAGTTATTTCTGTTTTTCATATACACAGACTTTTTTCTTGCCACTATTCCCTAAACAAAACAGTGGAACAACTATTAATAGAGTATTTACGGTGTGTTAAGTATTACAAGTAATTCAGAAATGACTTAAAGTATAATGAAAGTATTGTGTAGGTTACATGTAAATTCTAAGCCATTTTATATAAAGGACTTAAGTGTCCATGGATTTTGTTATCTGAGGGAAGTCCTGGAACCTCTCCCACAGAAACTACTGTTTTTTTCCTATGCATATGTATCTATAATAAAATTGGATTTACATATTAGGCACAGTAAGAGATTAACAACAACAATAAACAATAATAAAATAGAACAATTATAATAATATACTATAACACAATTTATTTAAAATGTGTGAATTTCTTTATTTCTGAAGCAATATTTTTGGAGCACTGTTGACCATGGATAACTGAAACTGTGGACAAAGGAAGGCTATTGGATGTTTGTCCAACAACCTGCTCAGAATGGAAAAGAGTAAATCAGATGTCTATCTGTGATGGTTCCTTTAGAACAGTATGTCCCCAAAGAAACATGGTGTCCTATGGAAAACAGTGCTGGGGTTTAGTTGTATGTTTTGGGCACTTATTTAACACCTGCTGGTGGAGACATACAGTCTATAACATGGATGAATCTAGTGGTCATTATGCTGAGTGAAATGAGCCAGTCACAACTGGACAAATACTGCATAATCCCACTGAATATGAGGTACCTAGAGCAGTCAGACTCACACAGAGAAAAAGTGGAAAGGAGGTTGCCAGGGTCTGAGGCAGAGGATGATGGGCAGTTAGTGTCTAATGGGTGTAGAGTCTCAATTTGGCAAAACAAAGAGTTCTGAACACTGGGTGCACTACAGTATGCATTTACAGTATGCACTGTGAGCTTGAAAATTAATAAAATGCTAAATTGTATGATATGCGCATTCTATCACAATTTCAAAAAATTTTAGTTCATTCTAGTGTATTTCCATAGGTTTATAGTCTTAGGGTTAGAAGAAGTGATTAAAAGTAATTTAACCCGGGGCCGGCGCCATGGCCCACTAGGTTAATCCTCCACCTGTGGTGCCAGCATCCCCTATAGGCACCGGGTTCTAGTCCTGGTTGCTCCTCTTCCAGTCCAGCTCTCTGCTGTGGCCAGGGAGTGCAGTGGAGGATGGCCCAAGTGCTTGGGTCCCTGCACCTGCATGGGAGACCAGGAGGAAGCACCCGGCTCCTGGCTTCGTATCGGCACAGAGCGCCGGCCGTAGCAACTATTTGGGGAGTGAACCAATGGAAGGAAGACCTTTCTCTCTGTCTCTTTCTCACTGTCTGTAACTCTACCTGTCAAATAAAAAACAAAAGTAATTTAACCCAATGTTCCTTAAACTTTTTTTGACTGGGGTCCCACAATAAAACTGCATTTTATGTTGTGATCTGGTGTGTATACCTCATGATATTCACACACACACACACACACACATGCTTATACACACACAGAGTTACTGATAAGTTATCGTATGTACCAAAATATACACGTAACTGAAAATATATAACTAAAAATATTAGTTCATTATGTGGAATATGTTCTTTTTTAATTTTGTCATTTCATTTTATTTAAAAACAAAACAAAACAAATCAAAACAGACTCCACAGAACAGATTCCACAATCTACTAATGGGTCTCAGCCTGCAGTTTGAAAAGCACTAATCCAGACTGATCCTCAACACGATGCAGAAATCTCTCCCCTGGAGCCCCACACTGGGTGCTCCTCCAACTTCTGCTTGGATGCTCTATGGTGGACCCGTCCAGCAGTTCACCGTCCTTGCTCCAAAGCTGTTCCGGGCATGCCTTGCTGGAGCCAAGGATCCCACGAGGGCTGGGACCAGCTAACAGGTGCTCAGCAGCTCCAAGGAGCGGGGAAGTCACAGTTCCTAGCAGCCAGGCAGGGGTTGGGATGAGCTGGGGGAGAGGGCTCGGTGGCCGGAGCCTCCTTCTCCCCTCCCTGGAGCTGCTGATTAGACTCCCCCTCTGCCTCCTCATCCCTCCAACACTGTGATTATTTCCTCATCTGGGAGATGATCTCATTCCCCTGGCACCCGCCCGCTGTGGGAGAGGTTCCTCCCCGAAAGGGGGCCTCCGCCTCTGCTGAGACAGATTCCCCCATAGCCCCTCTCTGCCTCCCCTCACCCCTCTGGTCTCCGGCAGGTGCCCCTGCCATGCCCACCTACCATTTGCTTGGTCTAGAGGTGGGAGGTATCCCAGCCCGGGGTACTCACACAGAGGCTGCCTGAATATTTCTGACCTAACCCTCTAAGGCATCCTGGACACCTGCCCTGGCTCAGGACATCGAGCCTCCTCCACACCTGAGTGTATCTTCCTGGGAGAAATAAAACAAAGGCAGCTCCGCCACGTGGGGACAGAGCTGGCTGCTGGACACTAAATTCCTGGGTCCCGGGATGAGCAAAGGACAAAGCCAAAACTCCTGGGGAGGGCGGTGGGCTGAGTGAGGAGGGGACCTGCCCATGGCCGTGGCCAAGGACCAGGGCATGGCAGTTCTGGGCTGCAGTTTTCAGCTTTAGAGTCAGCCAGCCCTGGCCAGGTAGGATCAGGTTGACCTCAGGGTGGGGCGGGGCGAGGAAGAGGTGATGATCTCATTGTATCTTTAGAACCAAGGGACAAAAGTAACCCATGCAAAGGTAGAGGGGAAAGAAAAAATGGGGAGAGAGACAAGAAATGCTGTATCCGAGGAAGACAATGTCAAATGCAGGGGTCTCCAGGTGAGGGTGGGCTCCAAGGGAGCAACCTTTCTCCTTCAGCCACAAGACATTGTTATGCAGAAATAACTCACTGTGAACCTCTGCCACTTCCTGCCCATCCTCGCTCTCCCCAGCTCTGAAATGTGAGGAAAGCCTGTAGCCCACCCTCGCCCCTCCACCCAGCGCCATTCTTTTTGCCTCACCCTGTTTCCCCCAGGGTTTGACAAAAGTTTAATTGATTGAGTGAAACCGAAGGCAACACAATAGACACCAGACCCCTCGCTTCTCCCTTGTATGGCTTTTTTCTTTCGCCTGACAATCCTCAAATCATTTGCATTTCATTTCGACTTACCTGCAGTCCAGTTCGAAGCGTGCTGCTCTGTTCCTCACTCCTTCAATTAGTGGTACCCTAGGCTTCTCTCAACATCAGCACCACTGCCTGGCTCTTACCATGACATCACCTCCAAGCTCTATGATTGGCTGACAGTGGGTTGCTTGGCAATTGGACAGTCTCCTCTGGTGGAGCAGGGATTGCCTGAGTAACTCTTAGCAGGCCAGGGAGGGGAAGATGATGTCAGACAAAGAGCCTGCTTTCTCTTCTGCCTGTGGAGCCGGAGAAGCAGAGGGTGAGGGTGGCGAGGAGGAAGAAGAGGCAGTATTCGGGGAGGGTGGGGGAGACAGCACAGCTTGCTAGCTGGGGGAATGATGAATGATTTAGAGAATCTTTAGCTCTTTCAGATCTGGGGGTGGGAGAATGTGGAATCTAGAGGAGCAATAAGAGAGAACAGATGAACCCTAAAAATAGCTTGCCGGAGGGCTTGGTGCCTGTTTCCCACTCCGTCTGAGGGCTGGTGGGTTTCCGCGGTGATTTGGATGGCAGGGAGGGGCTGTAGAAACCCCAAGCCCTAGAGCTGGAGTGGGATCCCTACAGAAAGTCAGGAGAACAAGCCCCCCCCCGCCACGGCTCCGCTAGCAGAGGTGTCTGCCCCTTCTCCACAGTGGCATTTGCCCAGCACTGATGGGTCCTCACAGCCTGCTTGGTCAGCCGGGTTCTTGCAGCTGGAGTCCGAGGTGGAGAGAGAGGTTGCCCATGACCCTTGTGACTTCTAAACTGATGGAATCCTTAGGGGAGGTGACAGGACGTCACTGGCATCTTCTCTGGTTCCCTGAGAAGAGGGAGTAGGTGAGAGATAAAGCAGTCTGTGGGAACGGTACCCCTCTCTCTCTTAACGCCCCCCTCGCTGTGTTCACCATCCCCACACTCCAGCACCCAGCATGTCTCCTTCCTTTCTCTTGGAAAGGAGGGAAATTTTATTACAGCTACATGTGCATAACATAAAGCTTCCCCATTTTAACCTTTTCTAAGTGTGAAGCTCAGTGACAGGAAGAAGATTCTCAGTGCTCTTGTGCAATAATCATTGCCATCTATCTCCAGAACTTTTTCATCTTAACCCCGCTCTCATCTGGAACCACTAAACAGTAACTCCCTTTCTCCTCACTTCTGCACTACTGCCAGTCTCTATGAATCTGCTTGCTCCAGGCACCTCATATAGGTGGGATCTCACAGCCGTGCCCTTTTGTGCCTGGCTTATTTCACTCAGCAGAATGTCTTCCAGGTTCATCCTCGCTGTTCCACAGGCCACAATTCCACCCCTCTTCCTGGATAAGGAGGGTTTGTTCAATCACAATCAAGGTCATGACAAAATTACTTTGAATACAACCCATTCTTTGAAATTGTTTTTAACTACAATAGCCATAATCTGAACTTGAAAAATCACAGGGAATGCACGCCAGAGACGTGCGGGTTCACTCGACAGATCCTGCTAGAAAGTAAGTATAGTGTGAGGCGGCCCTGGCACTAACCCCCAACATAAACCCCAGAGCTGAGACCCACTGGTTGGCAGCTCTCTTCCTGGCACCTGTGTTTCCTCCAGGGAGTTCCATGTGAACACATGTCCCAGCTCCCACCTCAGATCACGAAGGGAGGGCACCTGTTACTTTGTCCACTCCTGGATAACTATGTCTGGGGTTGGCCAGAAAAATGAATGACCCCTGCCTATTTTGGGATTCTCAAAGCACATCCATGCTCCCCTATCCACGCAGTAACTTCAGCAGGGCTGTAAGGCAGCAGGAGGAGCACCGTTCTGCTTGACATTCACTGGGTGTCTTAAACAACACGCTTATCATGCATGCCACATGCCACCAACCCAGAAGCTTTGGACTCCGAGATGGTTCATTTCAGAGAGAATCAGGAGTCCCTACGGATCTCAGCAGTGATTTCCTCATCCTGTGGAGAAAGCAGAGGCCACACTACATACAGCCTGGAATCTGGAATCCAAACAAGCCCAAAATGTGCCAAGGTAGCTGTCTCCCCTCCCCCAGGCTCCCTCCCTGTACATCCCTAAGAAGTCTGGAAATCCACAGATCTGCTGGCTCTGGAAAGTGAGGGAGGGGAGAGGAGACAGTGAGTTGCCATGGTGATGGCAGCCAGTCAGAGATCCTCTGCTACTAGGAGAGGGAAGCATCTGTCTGAGTCCCCCTGACAGTGACAGGAGGTGGGGCTGGGGTCAGGGTGGGAGTAGGGGGGAGTGGACATCAATGCCTGAGAGCAGACTCCAAGGGGGTAAAGGGAACTGCGGAAGGCGGCTCCATTTCTAGCGTGATCTGGATGCCAGTTGATTACAATGCTGTCAGAGAGATGGGGTGAGGCAGATGATATAGACAGATGAGAGATATAAAGGTGATAGATAGATAGATAGATAGATAGATAGATAGATACTCACCTACAGAGTAAAACCCTCAACTGTCTTTTGAGGAAGGGAGTACCTAATCCATCTACCAAGGAAACAGATTTCGATGGGGAAAGTAGGCTGCAAGCAACCAACCTGTTAAATGGTGAGGCCTAGATGTGAGCTTAGGGGTAGGGTAGCAGGAAATAATATTGAAAAGAAAGGGAGTGAGGCAAGCCAGAGAAAGGTACAGCCACAAAGACCTGCTGGATAGGAGCATCCCAGGGTGTATAAAGCAATACACAGTAGTGATGAGTGGAGACAGACGCTCAGTTACTGCAGGAAAATGTGCCAAGCATCAAGTCCACAGGACAAATGGTAAGGAGGGACCAAACCCTAAAAAGAAACCATAAAGGCCCAGATGAGGAGGTTCAGAGGGGGTGGGAAGCAGACAGAGGACTGGATGGGAATTGTATTCTTCGTACCTTCATGTTCAAAGCTCCTGGGAACTTTGCTGGGGAAGATGGGCAGCCAAGCGCTGTCCTGGGACCTGCTGTGTCAGCTTTGGACAGGGCCAGCTGATTGTGATCAGTCCAGTTCAGAGAGGCAGCAGGGCATCAACCAAAGGGGCAAGGGGCCCACAATGCACAGAACTGAAGCAGCTTGGCTCACTCAGACCCTTAGTCCCCACATGCTGCCTGGTGGCACCGTGGAGGCCAATTCATTGAGTTCTGCCCAGGAATCCAAGGGCAGTGACTGGCGATGGCCTGGCTCATATTATAACTCACAACCCTCAGGGTACCAAATATAGCATCCAGTCCCTAAAGGGGCTCCTGCCCTTGACAGAGGTAGTTCTACTGTAGTACCTACTGGGCCGTCTTCCTGGGAAGCCTTGCGGAACCTCTAATCAATTCCCAGTCCTCAGGAAGTGTGGTCCTGGCCTCACACTGGAATTCAGAGTATCTTATTTGATCAACACAAGTATATGATTCTCTTTCACTAATGTGGTTTACAAAAGCTATAAAATACAAATAGGAGTTCATCTTTGTGTCCTTATTTTACAAGACTAAGATTTGAGGGATTTTCTTCTATAGAATTTATTGAACTCAATATTGTCAGATATATATTAAAAATGAATAATGACATGTATGCATGATGTCATTTATTTTCTTACCTTTTTATGTGCTTGGAAGGCAGAGAGAGAGAGAAGTAGAGACAGAGACTGACAGAGAGACAGATCATCCAGATTCTGGTTCACTTCACAAATGCCCACCACAGCAGGTGATAGCCCAGAATTCCATCCAAATCTCCCACGCATTGAACAACTTTATTACACAGAGACAGGTTATTCTGTCTCATACATTCTTGTGCCACTAGTTGCTTAGATTTTTTTTCAATCAATTAAAACACAAATTCAATGCAACTTTAAACCAAGCCACATTACCCGAAGTGTGTTCACACTAATGATTAGGCTTATAAAGTACATTACAATGGTGATCAATGTTTCTAATATCAACATATAATGTTTATAAGGGCAACACATATCATGTGAGTTGACATCTGCAAATCACTTAGAAGAGTGCCTGGTGTACATTATAGGTTCAAGAAATGTCAACTACCGTTGTAACTGACATTAGATACAAAAGCAGACCACCCAAAAGTCTTAGGTTCCCAAGTAAGAAAAGTCTTAAATGTTTAAAACAAGTTAAAACTTGTTTTTTTTTTTAAAAAAAAAAAAAACAGCAAACAAAAAACCAAGATAATTTAAGCCAAAGTTTTGTGAAAATTTGAAGGGATGAGTAAGTGGAGCTGCTGTTAAGATACCACCGCGGATCCCCAGATCTCTTCTCGGAGTGTCTGGGTTCACGTCCTTGCTAACGCACGACTTGGGAAGCAGCAGTGGTGGTTCAGGCGGTTGGGTCCCTGCCTCCTACACTGGGGACCTGAACTGAGTTCCCAGCTCCTGATGTGGCCTGGCCCAGCCACAGTTGTTGTGGGCATTTGCTGAGTGAACCAGCAGACCAAAGATTCTCTCTCTCTCTCTCTCTCTCTCTCTGATTGCCTTTTGAAGTAATCAATAAAATAAAATTTTTAAAAAATAAGACTGAAAAGTCTACACATTCGTGATCCAGTTAGAAAACTGGCAAAAGATACGAAGAAATAATTCATCCATGAGAACACACAGACAGCAAATAGATAGTTGAGAAGATATACAGGCTGGCGCCATGGCTCAATAGGCTAATCCTCCGCCTAGCGGCGCCGGCACACCAGGTTCTAGTCCCGGTCGGGGCGCCGGATTCTGTCCCGGTTGCCCCTCTTCCAGGCCAGCTCTCTGCTATGGCCCGGGAGTGCAGTGGAGAATGGCCCAAGTGCTTGGGCCATGCACCCCATGGGAGACCAGGAGAAGTACCTGGCTCCTGCCATCGGATCAGCACGGTGCGCCGGCCGCAGCACGCCGGCAGCGGCGGCCATTGGAGGGTGAACCAACGGCAAAAGGAAGACCTTTCTCTCTGTCTCTCTCTCTCACTGTCCACTCTGCCTGTCAAAAAAAAAAAAAAAAAAAAGAAGAAGAAGATATACAACATAGCCACCAGGGAAATGCAATTTAAGACCACAAAGAGATATTGCTGTACATCAATTAAAATAACTAAAGTAAAAAACAGTAACAATACCAAATGCTGGTTAGAACATAGGGAAACGAGATTTCTCATACATTGCTGGTGGGGATGCAAAATGGTACACATACTCTAGAAAATAGTTTGCAACTTCTTCATAACATTA